GTGTGTGTGTGTGTGTGTGTGTGGGGGGGGGGGGGAAAGAGACAGAGAGAAGTATTCATATTAACTTTTTAATTAAAAAGATCACTATAAATTGATTTCTAATGCATTTTACAAACCACCTTATCAAATATTCATTAAATTTTGATTCCTAGATTGGGAATATTACATGAAATAAAGTTATAGTGTGCCTCAGACCATGTAGAAGCATGATAAAAAAATTAAACAATCACTAAAGATATCTTGTTTTCTACATGTGAAAAGTCATTTCAACTGGCTAAAAGTTTATTTGTTACCGTGCCTCCCAGGTAGAAAACATTGGAATCTTGAGATATGATTTTCTGCTTAATCACAGTACGAGAGATGATTAAAAATTTTTTTAATCATAATACAGGAAGGTGACAGGATAGGTGTGATAAAGAAATCCAATGGCCTATTTATTTATTTAATTATTTACTTAACATTTTTTTGTCATATTCCAGGAAGGTGACAGGATAGGTCTGATAAAGAAGTCCAATGGCTGTCTCCACTACTACATCAATGGTGTAGACCAAGGTGTGGCTGCCACCAAGACAGCACAGATGGTGTGGGGGGTGGTGGATCTGTATGGAATGGCTGTCAAAGTACGGGAAGCTTACTCAGTGATGGGATTGTATATTTATTTATTTATTTATTTATTTATTTATTTATTGCGATGAAAATCTAAATGAATGAAATAGACCGAGTGTTAACAATTCTAAGAGAAATGTGCAATTTAGAGTAATAAGAGAAATCAGACATAATTGAAATCCAACAAGGGCACTGCAGTACTGCCTTGTCAGTTCATATCAAACTCGGACTAATTGTGTTGAATTAACAATCTTATAATGATCATGTGCAGGTGACCATCCTGGATCCTGAGGAGTGTCCATCTGAGCCAGCCGCTCTAAACCGATCACTGACCCACATCTTCCGCACCATGAGAGACTCTATGACCAGTGCTTATGACACTGACGGTAAGATGTCTGCAGAGATATTGTTGTTGTTTTTGTTGTTACTACTAAGTGAAGGTACACACTGGAATGAAAGTTTTGTCATTTGTATCAAGCAATATACCTTGTTTTATTGTCTGTAATATTTGAAGTCTGTTATACTGATGTGTACTTCTTTTTCTAGTTAGATGGGACTGAGACTTTTATGTTCAGTAAGTTATAGGCCAGTGTTTGGTTAATATGAGGTTGTTATATGTGAGATCTACTTCAGTTCCTTGGATGTACGTAATTTGTATGTATGTAATGATGACCTTGTATGTATTGTTTGATTTTCAGAAGAAACCAGGGAAGAAGTTGAGAAGCTACTGTTTCATCCACGGTGTGGTTCACATGCTTCAATTATAAATTGGCAGAGGACAGCATCAAGGCCTAAGTATGTCTGTTAGATATATTCAAATACATAGAAATCTTACTTTTAGTGACAGCTTTGAGAAATATTGGTGTTACTGATACTAATGTTTGAATGTGTATCATTATAAGCTTAAAAACAAAACGTAAACTTAAATTCACACACAATTTTCTAAAACTTTTCCTCAAATCTCTGTTGTCTCTTAGTGCTATGGAGGACTTTAATCATGGTGTCTGCATCACGAACCGCTTTCTGCGCCCAGGAGAGACTTTCGAAGTGCAGATTGACAAGATGGTGGAGAAGTGGGCGGGGTCTATTGAGATTGGCGTCACTACCCACAGTGCAACTGACCTGGACTTTCCTTCCACGATGACAAATGTTCGCTCTGGGACGTGGATGATGACGGGGAACGGAGTGATGCACAACGGGACCACTGTCATTGATGAGTATGGACAAAACTTGGACAGATTAAAGGTAAATGATATATGTGGTCAATAAGGGCGTATTCCCAGAGCTTTTAGATCGAGCTATCCCCGCGGGGAGTCTCACTAGATTACTGTCAGATAATCCGGCTTAAATGTCCTTCCTGCCTACTACAAGCTGTAAGGGGGTAATTAACTTTCGTGCCCGCCCGGCTGACAGCTATTTAGCGTGAACCCCCAGGGAGTTAGGTGGATCTAAAGTAGATCGATCTAATCTCTGGGAATGGGGTCTAAGAGGTTGCTCAGAGTGAGAAACGTACAACTCTGATGCTGGAACTGGTATTAACGACTCACCATCAACTGGTATTAATGACTCACCAATGTTGTGGTCTCAACCTCAGACCTGTCACTAGGAAAGAACCCTACTGAAAGATAGCGAATGAGACCGCAACATTGGTGAGTTACTAATATAAGTTCCAGAGATAAAAATACTCGCTCTGCTATTCTGATGACATTTCTGCTGACCCACTACTATCAGGTTATTTTAATATTTGAACAAAACAAATATGTATGGTCTTTGTTAGTTTCTATTGGATTTATAATGAATAAAGAAAAGCAAATGAAACTTAAAAAATGGATGGATCACTAAGAAAATAAAAAAAAAAATATTACTTAATTAATGAATGAATGTATAAATAAATGAATGAGAAATTGATTCATTAATTTGCTATGGTGAATTGATTAGGTTGGTGATCGTCTTGGAGTGGTCAGAAAGCCAGACGGGACCCTCCATTTCTACGTCAACGGTATTGACCAGGGTTCAGCGGCCACTAACATCCCTCCTAATGTCTACGGGGTCATTGATCTCTATGGTCAGGCTGCTCAGGCCACCATAGTGGACTCTACAGGTACGACTCCACTGGATACTTGGGAGTAGAATTGTAGGGGAGATTGTTTATTTATAAATGTTTGGCTTCATTTTATTTATTTATTTGTTTAAATTATTTTTAGTTTTTGTAGCAGTTGATGAAATTAAAACTGCCAAATAATGAGAATATGAATTTATTAGAAATTCAGTTATGCTTTACATAGAGAATAAAGTAGTCATACACGACATTTTGTTTCACCATTTTAGTAGCATTCAAAATATTTCATTTTATTAGTATTCTTTTCTTTATTGTCAGATCCTGTGCCCACCTCAATGCTGATATCAAGTGATCTCTCTGTGGACTCTGATGAATTAGGGTTCCATCATATTCACGGGAAAAATGCCTGCATCTTGCCAGGAGGGCGTACTGCCACGCGACCAAACGCACGCGGGGAGTTCAACGACGCCATTATAATGAGCAATCGCCCGCTGAGAGATAACGAGATGTTTGAAATAGTGATTGAGAAGATGGTGGATAGATGGTCAGGGTCTATAGAAGCAGGTTTGTGGTCCTCTGGTTTACTTTTAAATTTTAACTGTTCATATATATTTACATTATACTATACATTTTAATGTCTTAATATCTTAACTGCCTATTTATTCATTAACTTTATTCATCTTAAGCTGTTTATAGTACCTGTAAAGTCTACTAAACATTTTATATGTATTCTAGAAAATAAATAAATATTATTATTATTATTATTTAACAGGACTCTCTATTTTGAACATATATAACCAGAAAGACTTCTCAGTTACACTTTAATTAAATCCTATATGCGTGTTTATTTTCAAACTTCTTGTATGTTTATGCATACAAATTGAGGTCAGATTTTTCAGCAGCAAAGATGGCTGAGTTTTTCCTTGCCCATCTCAAATGCACTGTTTTTGTATGACATCAAGGAGTATGATATCAATACAGTATTTTATATGCCTAAATGTTCAGCCATGATGACATGTGCAATGCAAGCACACACACTCATACAAACACATGCACACAATTTGGAACTTTTCAACTTTCATAACAAATTTTATATATTTCCTGTCTCTTTATTTTGTTGCTGTAGGAGTCACACTGATAAGACCACATGAAATAGATCTCCCTAGTACTATGACAGATATAGACTACGACACTTGGATGCTGAGGTGAGGGCCAAACTAATGAGTAAAGTACTCAAATAGTGCAGACCTCTACCAAGACATATAAAGATACATTAATTGATAAACTGATCACCACCAAAATATAATCATTTTGTCCTTGACCCATTTTTTACGCAGCCTGAAAATCTCATCACAATCTGTCCATAACTTATTGCAGAATATTGCCTGTTATGCATGTGTAGGCAGACTCCAGTTACAAAAAGTCATCTTAAAAACTATCAATTTCTTGGTTTTTAAATTGATATAAAATTGTCACTGAAATGAAGAGGGACAGACTTATTAAAAAAGTAATCAAGGAAAGACTGAAGATTTATTTTGTATTTATCCTCAGTGGCTCCTCTATCATGCAAGATGGTTCAACTATACGCAATAGCTACAGCTGTGACCTTGACCTCCTGGGCGTTGGCGCCCGTATCGGAATGATGAGGACCAGCGAAGGTGACCTGCACTTCTTTGTGGATGGGGAGGATATGGGCGTGGCCTGCAGTGGGTTGCCTAGCGGTGAGTGGTCACAAGATTCGTGCTGGCCAATCACAGTGCACTTAGTCTATTAGGAATAAGATTGACATGTTATTTGCTGGGATGCTTTCCATAAAACAGTGTCTGTTACAGTCATATGACATCACTTAGAAATTCATATCAAAAAGAAATACAAACAGTATATAAAAAGTTAAGAAAAACATTGACAACTATTATTAGATTATGATTAAAACCTTAAAATGATTTTTTAGTGTTTTCATTCTCATGAATTATATGAGTTTTCAATAACTTAGAAGATTATTTAAGATTTAAATAAGATTATTTATTTAAGATTATTTCAATTTTGAATTTGAATGTACCAGATATGATATCTCATGAAGAGAAGCATTGGACATATATATATATATATATATATATATATATATATATATATATATATATATATATATATATATATTACCATGGGTAACATAATTCAGGTGTGTATGCTGTAGTAGACCTGTATGGTCAGTGTGCCCAGGTGTCTATCTGTAATGGCCAGACAACCAGATTTCATGCCATAGATAACCACTCAAGTCTGGAGTATATAGACCAGTCACTGAGCACACCTGTTAGTGTGGGTTAGTACCCCTCTCTCTCTCTCTCTCTCTCTCTCTCTCTCTCTCTCTCTCTCTCTCACACACACACACACACGCGCACACACACGCACACACAGATACACACAAACACACACACACAAACACATTGATTGCAGGTAGTCTAGGCTCAGTATATGTTCTGGGATTGAGGATGGGATGTGTGTGTGAGTGCCTTGTACTCGTCACTTTGAAAAAACATTAAATTTGCTTGCATCCCCCCTCTTCCCCTTCCCAAGTGGCACATGTAATACTCTATATAATACATTATTATATTTAAAAATAATTTCTATATTTCTTTCCTGTTCAATAATCCAGAGGTCAGTAACTGATTCAGTGTGTGTGTTTGTGTGTGTGTGTGTGTATATATATATATATTCTTGTTTTATATTGCAGAGGTCAGTCACAGATTCAGTGTGTGTGTATGTGTGTATATTTATTTATATATTTATATATATTTATATATTTTATATATATATTTTCTTGTTCCATATTCCAGAGGTCAGTCACAGATTCAGTGTTTGCTGCGGTAAGAATGTAGCCATGAAGAACAATGGTACCACTGCCTGTCGCACCAAAGGCTTTAACGAGGGTCTGGTGTTCAGCAGCGAACCCTTGAGGAATAATGAACTCTTTGAGGTTAGTTGATTAGAAAATGGAAGAAATTAGTAATTAGGACGACGAGAATTAGTTTTTATTGATCATTATCAAATAAATCGGCAACATAGATCCCCTTGTTATTTGTAGTAATGTGCTTTCTGATCAGAATGGATTACTACATTCCCCTTCCTGTGCACCCTAACTCATCTTAACAGTTTTGGATTAGCCTTACTATTCCTAATAGCTGCTGTAAAAGGTTGCTGAGCTGAAAAAGAAGGGTTAGCACCTCTTCCTTTAGAATTCCCACGGCTTTGATCTTTCTCAATGCCTCTACTACTTTTGCTGATTGTTAAGAAGTTTGTTGAAATTTTCAGAATCCATTTATTTATGAGTGCATTCTGAACAACTAATTGATGGGCTGAATAAACATGGCCAACCCCACTTCAAAAGCTATGCTGCTTATCCCTGATGGTCTCCCAGATTAAATTTGATTCCTGGTTTAATGGATAGGCCCCTGCGGCAACGGCATGTGTGAAGGTGGGGAGACCATTAGGGAATAAGCAGCATCACTTTTGAAGTGGGGTCGGCCATATTTAGTCAGCAGATCAGTTAGTCTATGGATCATCTGTTCTGAAGGCTGTCAGTGAGATATTACATATATTATATATTTTCTGTAGGTCAGGGTGGATCAGTTAGCCAAGCAGTGGTCAGGGTCACTCCACATTGGTCTGACCACCATGGCCATCTCAGACACCACCCCCACCTCCCACCTGACCCCTCGCGCCACTGACCTCAGGTCAAAGGCCAAGGTCACCTGGGTCGTCTGCGGGTCAGAGGTCAAGAAGAATGGCGTGACGGTCAAGGAGAACTGTGCTCCATCTTTGGAGAGACTTGAGGTATTGAGTCTTTCTTCACTACTTTAAACATTGGAGAAGTACTATAACACATCCAAATTGGATGTACATGTAGGGAGTGTAAAATGAGTGAATCCTTTCAAATGGTTCATTTAACTAAATTCTATAACAAATTTTGAAAAAAATGTCTACAGGTAAACAATATGATTTGTTGGCTATTTGAAGTACTAATCATATTTGAAGGTACTTTATTTATTCACAGAATGGTAAAATTAGCATCGTTTTATAATTATAAATACAATCAGTTTTAAAATGAAAGTAATTGAAAATCACACAAATTTATACTTTGGTGATAAGTATCTACAGGTAATGTGTAAAGATTAAAAATGATCTGTGATTTAATTTTCATATTTATTTGACCCTCTTATTACAAAACCACTAAGTCATAATACTTGTTACATAAAGTAACATTTCTTTCAATTTCTTTCCTTGTCTTTACAAGATGCGATCAGTTTGTAGGAATAAATCTACATTAATTTGCTTTCTTTATTTTCAGATAGGCGACACTGTAGGCATTAAGCGCTCAGCAGATGCTACGATGCACGTTTACGTGAATGGTGAAGATTTAGGGGTTGCGGCTAGTAACATTCCAAAGGTATAGAATACAAAGATGCAGTTGCTGTAATAGCTTTCTTAAACAATAGCAGAACTGAGATATTTACAGACTTTCAGGCTCTCTTTTATATGGTAACTGTGAGTGAATAGATGAGCTGATGCTGTATTACTCAAGATTATGCACAAACTTTTACTGGAACAGATGTTTCTGACAAGTTTCCAATATTTATTAATGTTGAGTTCCCAAATATAGTTATAACAAGTTTTATTAAAAATAAAGTATTTGGATTGGAATTGTTTTGAAATGTTAAGCTTATGTTTCTGTATTATTCAAAGTAGAAGACAAATATGTGAAAAGTATAAAAGAAATCTTATATTTATTATATTTTCAGAATGTGTTTGCAATCATTGACCTGTATGGGATGGCGGAGACAGTGACGGTGACCAGCAGTGCATTCCCAGATATCTTAACCAGTCCCACGGGACCGCCATCAATGAGGTCAGAAAGCAGCGACTCTTTAGAGGTAGGTCTAAAGGTAGAGCTATGTGGATTCATAGAATTGTTGAATACATTGATCTTCCTTCTCTCTCTCTCTCTCTCCTCCATCTCTCTCTTCCTCTCTCTCTCTCTCTCTCTCTCTCTCTCATATCATCCCCAACATTTTTCAGAAGGAAACGGACCAGGATACAGCTGAAGGAGTCAATCTCCATTTCCATGGTAACCATGGCAAGAACATCAACCTTAGCAACAAGAACATGACTGCCTCACGTACTGCCAGCTACAACCAAGGCATTGTTATCACCCAGAGACCATTGCCCAGGAATCATATATTCCAGGTAACTGGTTTCTTTTTATTTTTTTAAAGAATGAATTGACAGTAAGGGTGACAATTTTTCAACATATAGCACAAAAATAAATAATTATGGCTTAGAACACTCTTGCATGTTAGTTGAAGAATATAAACTATTTATTATAGTATGGAAGAATTAATGGGATGCATTTATAACTCATTAACTTATTGATTAATTAATTTATTAATTTTATTTATTTATTTATTTATTTATTTTATTTTGTATTGATTGAAATCCAAAAATAGGTTTTCATAGCTACTAAATTTTCACAAAGTTTGAGGCTTTTGTCAATCTTTTTGTTGATATATATCTGTTAAACTATCACTTCTCAGATTCGCCTAGACAAGTTAAACCCTCGCTGGACGTCCTCTGTCATGATTGGGGTGACGGGAACACCAGCAGACAAACAAACATTCCCATCTAGTGCCATCAGTGTGAAGAAGATGACGTGGATAATACAAGGGACGTCAGTTTTTCAAAATGGCGTGAAGGTAAAGCATATACTCGGACTCGGATGGTGGACTCGGACAGCGTCCTGCATCTCTATATGGATGGTGTAGACCTTGACCTTTTATAAACCTCGAATGAACCAAGCTTTTGTTTGTAACTAACAAAATCGTTATATTTTAAATGGGATTATTAAAGATTGTCACTATTAAAAATTTTACAATGTACATATAATCAAGATAATTACAACAATACCCCATTGGAATTTTTTAAATATATTATGTCTGTAAATGTATCAGCCCTTATGCCTAGTTGGCAAAACCATCCTAAGAGCCTTTAATCTTTCCATACACTCACATCTTCCAAACTCTAACAGTTTGTCACATGTCAAGTATTTGTTCATTTTCAGGTCAAAGAGAAGTACGGCTGTGACCTGGACGCTGCTGCCACTGGTCATGTGATAGGTGTCATGGTGGACTCGGACAGCGTCCTGCATCTCTATGTGGACGGTGTAGACCAGGGTCCAGCAGCTCGGGACATTCCAAAACAGTGTTATGGCATTGTGGATTTATATGGTCAATGTGAGGAGGTAGGGACAGTGTGGTGATGGGGTCAGTTTTAGGGCATTATTTTAAAGAAGCTCTGAACATTCCAAAACAAAGTTATGGCCTTGTTGATTTATATGGACTATGTGGTGTTAAGGTAAAGGGTTGGTCACTTCTACCTGATCATTTTTTACTAATGCTAATAGGCCTGAACAGTGACATAAAACTTTGTTGAGATTCCTTCCAGC